GTGTCGTTTATTTATCTGCAACACACTACAGTTTGTATTTTGTTCATTGTCGTTCTTTGCTGCTCTCCTGAGTTGTGTTACTGGTACAGGCATGTGGTGATGTGCACTTAACAGATTAGGTTTACAAAATGTTTGTTTTCTTTTTGTTAACAAACCCAAAGAAAAGACCAAAAGCAGAAATCCATTAGTCCGTCTCTCAATACTTTCTTTGTGGCTCTCAGACTCAAGTCTGTTTCTTCCTGCTGACGAACTAAACCGTTTGAAAAAGTTTGGAAATACATACTCACTTAAAAAAAGGTTAAATGCTTTCCTAAAATAGACTGCGGTTTTTGACAAAACATTTCTCAAACAGAGGGATGCAGTGCATTTTTTTTGGATTATTCTCTGCAGCAGATTTATTATGTTAGTGAGTATTTAGGACGGTATATTTGGGACCGACACAAAATAAACAACACTGCGCATGTTGGTGTTAATGATGCCAGTCGGTGCAACAATGATGAGTTTTTAACTGCTTCTGACAACAACGGAGCTCTATGGCTTAGAGGAAAAAGCTATATTGGGTTTAGCAATGCTACACAGAAAATACTTGTTAGTGAGATCAATTCATTGTTGATTTTGGGCTTTTTGTGGGGTTTGTTGACAGTAAGAAAAATATAGATAGATGAAATAGAATATATAGATACATTTTTCTAAGAAAATGTATGAAACAAAGAGATTTGTGGATGGTATTGTGAGCATGTTTACTGTGACAGCTACTAAAATGCACTCTATTCTTCACATATGTTGGACTGCACCGACATGAAAGCTCAACACCTCCATTGTGTTGTACTGCTTCTGTTACACTGCGATGCCGCTGCTGTTATTGTCACGTGAACTTTATTTTGTAATCCTCCATGTTGTCCATCCTTAGATGCGGTGTTTGCATTCCAGCTGCGTAACCCGGTCCACAATGGTCACGCCCTGCTGATGCAGGACACCAAGCGGCGTCTGCTGGAGCGAGGCTACAGGAATCCGGTCCTCCTGCTGCACCCACTCGGCGGCTGGACCAAAGACGACGATGTGCCTCTGGACTGGCGGATGAAGCAGCATGCTGCAGTCCTGGAAGAGGGCGTCCTGGACCCGGCAAGCACCATCGTTGCCATCTTCCCCTCTCCTATGATGTACGCTGGACCCACAGAGGTGAGGAGGAGTGGTGGCTTATTGTTTAGCAGTTTCTATCAGTCCGGCTTCCTACTGTGTACCCATTTACCCTTAATATGTGTGTGTGTGAATAAATATCAACATGCATGTCTTCCTCATCAGGTTCAGTGGCACTGTAGAGCCAGAATGATCGCCGGAGCAAACTTCTACATTGTTGGCCGGGACCCTGCAGGCATGCCTCACCCGGTGACTAAGCAGGACCTGTATGAACCCACCCATGGAAGCAAGGTCCTCACCATGGCCCCGGGCCTCACCTCTGTGGAGATCATCCCCTTCAGGGTCGCTGCCTACAACAAGACTAAGAAGGCCATGGACTTTTATGACACAGAGCGGTGAGTGAAGAGATTTTTCTCATATGTCCTGTTGTCTACTACGTATTATTTGTTTTTCCTAATTGTTTTTTCATGTAAAACATGGAATCTACTGACATGGTTGTCCCGGTGTGAACCCAAGTGCAATAAAACTGGAGCGAACTGGTAAAAGAAATGTCAGACTTGCTGTGATAAATCTGATAACGCATTTGTAGGCCCAAATCTTTCAAGGCTAAACATGATTTTTATGGAAATGTGAACCGTCTGTGACCCAGCCTCTTATCTTGGTCGCACTGCAAGAACATTGTCGTGTACATCTTTAGACAACTCCTACTGAATTCTGACTTCGCTCTTGTATATTTACAGCCACCTTTCTGTGCCGGTGTAATTATGGCCTCATCATGTGATTTGTAAATAAACAACATATCTAATAGCCTGTCCTGCCCTTCCCTCCTCCCTCACTCTCTCAGACATGCTGACTTTGAGTTTATCTCTGGAACCAAGATGAGGAACATGGCTCGGAGTGCAGAAAACCCTCCAGATGGTTTCATGGCCCCCAAGGCCTGGAAGGTTTTGGTCGAGTACTACACCTCTCTGCAGAAGGACAAGTAATCAACAGAGCGCTTAGCTCACCAAGGAAAGCCATCGTTTCCCAAAGGAGGGTAGAAATCCCCTATCCGTACAGGAGTATTTAGATAGATTTTTGTTTTATCTTATCCAAAAATACTTATTTAGATTGCTATAAATAATCAGTCTCTTCACCATAAAGAAATGACTTTTCTTTAGCAGTTAAAGCATTACATTTTTACATTCCTGTAAAACATATAAGTCCGTTATAAATGCATATTATTTTAAGTTATGTATTTGAATAAATTAAAGGTAGATTGAGATCATTATTATTTTTGAATTAAGCACAACCGAAGACTAAGAAATCATTTGTGATATTTACATGTAATAGCTGAGGGATGCATGGCAAAAGAAAATTCACTTTTTCTAAAATTTTATGGCGATTATAAATTATGTTAAATTATGTATGAGCTGAATGAAGGTTGCTAGCTGTTGTATCACTACCTACAGTGCATTTTTTTCTTTCTTTCTTTTTTTCCCATCTGGCCTATGGATGTTCATTAATTTATCCCATTAATGTTTCATATTTTTATGAAATGCAACATAGGTTTTTTAATAATGTGAAAGTGCCTTTCTCTCAAATGGTAACTTTATAAAACAGAAATTGTTTAAATGTCTTACTGCCATTTGCCCTGACGTGTCTATGTGATTTGTGTGATTTTATAAAGCGCAATTATGTAATAAAGACCTGCAGTTTTAGGGTGACAAATGCAGTAATAAAGAAGTTATTATGAATCACATCGAAACAAGATGCCTTCTGATGTAATGGATTAAATTTATTCTCTTTTCCCTGATACCTCTGTACTGATTTGTCTTTGTGCCACATTGTTTTGCGCCACACCATATTTAACTTATGTTTGTACAAGGTGCCTACCTATCAATTGAGGGTTAAAGGTTGAAGTCGACTGGGCAGTGTGGCATTCTGGGGCTGCAAATCCAAGAGTGCAGTGCTGCCATCTGCTGGCAAGAAGTGGTACGGGAAAAACACCAAAATAACAGAAGTACTTTTAAATGCATGCAAAAGGGCTCAGTCACTGTGGGTTTCTCTGACAGGAGGTGGGCTTGATAACGACAGTCATCATGATGACATCTCTCACTGATACCAGATCCAAAGATAGTCCTGTGTTTCTACCTGTCGTCTCAAATATTGGGTGAACTTGGACAAGCAGCAGTCACAGTGGAGATGTTCTTTATAACTGTCTAATATCTTTATGGACCTTTGTTGGAATTGTAAAACACTGGGGTTTGACTCTGGATCGGCTTTGCCAGACAGATCTGTTATAACAGATTAAGGAGATCCTGAGACGCTTTGAAATTATACTTTAGAGATGGTTGATTGAACTTGAAGGACTGATTAATTTTGCCGTTCTGTCATTAAGCTGTAAGGGCTTACATTGCTACCAGATGAGTGTTCTTCTTTGAGGAGAACCAGTATCTCCTGTAAGAAGCTGTAATTAGCCTCACGTGGGACCAGATCATTTAATCTGCGATGTTCCAGGTAACCCCATTTAAATCTGCTGAATTGCAACCTCAGTACTTTATAAAATCTCCAACTACTGTACATCCAACATGTCATGTCACTGAGAAATGACCAGGACGGCTACTGGTGTAAATCTCTTGTGTCCCACAGGCCTAATATTTCTGAACGTAGAGGCTAACCGTTTTTTTCACACCCCAAAATGTATCACTGGCATGACGGTCGATGTGCAAGGCATGCACCTCATCTAAATGTGAAAATGTCAGTTAGTGATCAATGGTTTGCGCAGCTGTGTTGCATGCACATGGATTGAGTATGGCCTCCTCAGATGTAGGCTGATGTTTACACACAGTTCATTAGGAGAGATGGTGCCCCAATTATTTAGCATTATGAACATGGCGATCATGAAAGTGACCTCATGCTGTGTGGCTGTTTGGCTTTAGCAAGAATGGGCCTTCAGAGCAGGACACAGGCACATGCAGTGATTTTTGCTGCTGGAGTGCAGTGGACTTATTAAGGAATAAGAAAACCAGCAAATGTTTTTGGCACTTAAAATGAAATAAATGATTATATAATCAATAATGAAATTGCTTGCTGTTTATTTTCTGTAGCTTGACTAATTAATTATTTGACTAATTGTTTCGGATCTAATCCAAACCACTGAGAATCTCATTTACTTCAGATAAATATTTTTGATGCATTCAACATTTTTGATTACTTCTTTGTGTTCTTGTAAACTAAAGAGTCATTATTATTATTAGTAGTATAGTATTCATTGAAATAATCTCATATGAATCTAGGCAATGACTGTATTTGTCATTTTATTATGCATAATGTCACTGTAAGTGAGCGTCAAGGACAAGAATATAAACAATAAAATAACAGACTATGGTCCATGCTGTGAACAACGTTAGTATAATTTAGGATTGTTTTGAAGAGATTGTATGAAGAAGGCAATGTAGGAACTGCAAAGTATACTAATATTCAACTATAAACATGATAAACGTCTCATGGATTGATAAATTAAAGGATATATTTTATACGGCCTGAAATGACAGTTTAAACCGCGAAAAGTGACATTATGTTGGAAACTTCCCTAATTACAGTCACACGTGATCACTTTGACAGAAGGGAGCGTCGCATGCCGACTCACTTTATCCTTCCGCCAGAAGCATGAAATAACTCGACTATTGCGTTTTCCGAGGCTGTAACAATTACTTCTGAGAGCAGTTTTTCATCAGCATCAAAAATAAATTGTCGAAACACAATGAGCTAATGCTGCGTTGGCCGGTTTTATTTAAACGGCAGAACTATATGGAGTAGGCGGAGGGATATTTGTTCTAAAATCCCAGCCCGCTCTACCTTCTTTTTTTCCTTCGGTGGAGGCCATGATGGGAGCCTGAGAGTTCAGCTGGAGCGAAAGGAGCAAGAAAAGAAGATGATTCCTCGGGACGGAACTGTCAAACCAATCCGTGCAGATCTCTGAGCTTTTTGTATAGTTTAAATACATTCACGGTGGAGCCTGTCACTTTTCTTCAGATGTGTTCTTGGCAATCAGTCGACGACGATGCTGAATCGTTAGGAGGCTCTTGGATCGAAAGAGGAGGCAGCGTTAGCTATTGTCGCTAGCTAGCTGGCTGCTGCTAGCTTAGCTCGTCAGCTAGCGAGCTAGCTGCGTCCGAGTGACTGGAGACAGGTTTACCGGTGAGTCCTCTATAGTCTCGCTGTCTGAAGAATCATCGGCCTGGACCGTGTCTTGCATCTTAAAGGACAACTGCATGTATTTTATTCGGGAGCGTTTGCTAGACGAGTTGCGGGATTGGCAAAGTCGGGCCTGCACGGAGGAGCGGAGCGAGGCCCGTCTTTATGCTCCAGAGGAAGCCTTTCTAATCCCACCGACGGACACCAAGAGCTCTGCTGGCTCGCACGTCTCCCGCGAGGACCTGACCCACTGACCGCAACACACACGACCAGACGGGTAACACTAGAATAACCTGTTTTCATCATTTACCCCTGAAAGACTCCTGCTACAATGGCTGCGATTATAAAAGAAATGGTCAGCCGGAACAAAAGGAGATATCAAGAGGATGGGTTCGACCTGGACTTAACATGTATCCTTTTACACTGCTTTTTTTTTTAATTTTTTTTTTATTCATTTAATTTCCCCAGCACCCAGATCATTAACCGGTAACGTGTACTATTAGCATTGAGTAGCATAACTGGACCCGTAATGTAGAGGTAGTTAGCTTCCATGCTAACGTAGCTAGCTTCTGCTGTCACCCCAGCATGTTTGAAAGATGGTGGATCTGTCAAACCTGCACAGACAAATGTCACAGTCGTATTATAGATGAAAAAAAACGTTTAAGTGGACATTAGTGTGTGTGTTTGAGTAAGCGACGTTTACCTAACGTTACATACCAGTCGACCAGCGGTGGACCTAGCTCTGGGTTTGTTAGTGGCATTAAGTCAGGTTTTTAAAATCAGTGTGTGTCTGAAGACAGGTAGGGTTAGATGGGGTCTAGTATTCTCTCTATCTTTGTGCATCTAGATGCATTATATTGCGTTATGTGGTAGGTTTTTGGTTACTGCTGTCATCAGCTCACCTTTCCTTCATCTCGGCTGTGTCCTCTATGGGTGAGTATTCATTGATGGATTTCGACCAAAATCTTTCGAAAAATCTAATTAACATTTGCCTTCCCCCTTTTTAATGGAGATGCAGTCATTTCCAGCTTTAAGAATGTCTATTTCAGGCCCTTCTGCACCACTCATTTCTCATCTATTACCACTGATGATGACCTGGTTCCTCGGTGCTGTATTGCTGGTACTGAAGCTGGTACTGGTCATGAACTAAATGATACTGATTTAGTTTACCACGGGCAACTAAATATGAAATCTAATGTGTCTGTACTAAGATTTGATCACACTTTTTATCACGATTTCTAAACAACCTTTTTGGCCTTTTGAGTCCCGAGTTTGATATTTCTGGTTGTAGAGCCGAAACAAGTGGGCAAATAATAGATGAGTTCATTTTGATGTGTTTTTAATGCAAATATTGTCTGCCTCCGGCATCTAAAATGTGACAATTTGCTGGTGTTCTTAGTGTTATATGAGATTGAATGGAATATCTTTGTGTTGGACCACTGGTCAGATAGAACAAGACATTTGAAGATGTCAGCTTGGCTTCTGGGAAACTGATTGACAGTTTTTTTCCCCCTTATTGTTTGACAATTTATAGACCAAAGGATTAATTGATTAATCAAGGTTACAGTTGGGGAAAAAAGGTATTTTTGAAGATGAATCGATAATTATGATTGTAGGTTGTCGCCCTATCTGAATCCATACGGCATGTAGATGAAACATGCCGTGATATGTCTGCATATCATTTTCTCTGGTTATGCTCTGTGTTGTTGCATTAACTTGAAAACATTGCTGCCTCACGTTTCTTTTCTTTTGTAGACGAATGGAAAATGTAAAGCGGAGCGCTAGCTTCCTCAATCCTATAGATAACGTTGAGCTGAAGTGTCTGCTGGGATGATGAAACGTGTGCATCACAATATTATAATCAGATGTTTCTCACCCAGTTTGTTTTTAATGTGGTAAAACTTGTGGCAACACTAAAGCTGCCTCTAGAGATCGGTGCAGGTGTGAAGGGGGCACGTCTTTCTTTTCACTTGAAGTCTCTCGTTCAGATGTGGGCCCTTTCTAACCATCCCCTTTATCATTTTTTTTTGGCATGGTGTCTAAAAACAATATGGGCTCTCTGCAGTTATGCAATGCAGTATCGCAGTTCTGGGAATTGCCCTTAAAATAGAGCTGCCAGTGATCTTGTATCAGCGTTGCTGTCTGAGTGCTCTCTCCCTCTCTTACCCTCTCAACCCACCACCTCTCCTTTTGCTCTTTTTTTCCCTCACTACTCCCACTCTAATTCTCCCTCCCTCTGCTTTGCCCCCTTTCCTCTGCTCTCCTCCTTTCCTTTCCTGTCCTCCCCCACCCCCCCTCCTCACTCGGCATTCGCCCGGTTCCCACTCTCCCTTTCTCTCGCTCTCAGCCGTGGATTTGGCGTACGCACAGGCAGTGCTGGCTTTAAAGAAAAGGCGTGCCCTGAAACGGCACATTTTTTTTCTTTCCTCTTCTCCCTCCTACTTGGAGCTTCCGTCGGGGGTCCCGTATGTGTGTTTCCTTCCAGCTGCAGAGACCAAGCCCCCCCCACACATGCCCTGGGCTGAGGCTCTCCTGGGAGCTCTGGAGCTTTTTAAAAACACTTAGAATAGACTGGGATCACTTTGCCAGTAGGTCCAAGGGTTAGATAGCCCATCAAATAGCATAGCAAAGCTGTGTTTTGGCTCCTGATTAGGTCTTTGAGGCATTAATGGACTGGATTAATGCACAGTGTGTACACAGTATGTCCCTGTAGCTCTTTATAGGGAGCTACAGGTCAGTAGCTTGGCAGTATGCTAATATAACCGTAGGGCTTGTTGAATTCATGCATCAAGGCCCGTGTTGAGCATACCTGAGCTGCATAAAGCTATTTCTCTCACAGGGGTTTGAGACGTGTGTGTGTGTGTGTGTGTGTGTGTGTGTGTGTTTGCATGTGCAGGTCCTTGTCTGTGCACACTCCAGCTAAGCCAGAGTTTGTCAGATGCCCGTGTCAAATCTTTCTGACCAGTTAAAAAGTGATTTGACTCTGAGAAAATAAGGTCTGCTCAAAATGAAATGCATCCAATAAGAAACATTCAGCTTTTTCTATTTTTTGACACAGTGGTGCAGGAAGTGTAAGTAAAGGTTGCCCTTTTGAGTCTGTGGTTGAAGTGTGAAATCCCACAGCTTATGGCGACACGCAGACTTCAGTTTACAGGTAGGCGATGAGGCCTCAAAGACACGCGTGCCAACTCAATTATTCTTTTCTCTGCAACGTGACACTGATGTGTGCACCTTTTTTAAAATTGTATGTATGTCACTGTATAATAGGCCACAACATTTTCCGTCCCAATCGTGCGCTGACATACGGAACCCCGTTTGATGGTACGAGGCAACTTTTAAAGGCAGGTGTAGCACGAGCGACGTGGTGCTTTCCACTTGTGTCCACGCCGCAAACACAACTGCCTTCCGCTGCATGTGCAAGTCAAAACACAACTGCTTTTTTTTTTTTTTTTTTTTTTTTTTTTTGTTTTTTTTTTTCTTCTTCTCCCTTCTCCCCCCCATTAGATCAAAAGGTTTTTTTTCATGCCGTTGCCTGCGTTCGATCTCTTATAGATATTCAAATTGGTTTTCCGGCTGAGCTTCGAAAGAGAGATAAGCCAAAACATTTTGCGACGATCCCGATATAACTTTTGGGCTCTAAAAATAAATGCGGGTCAGAGAGCAGAGACTCTCCTCGTGCAGCCACATGTGGGCCCGGCTAGTGCAGGGGCGCCGTGACTCCCGTCCTCTCTGCTTCTCACTGTCAAGGCCATCTGTCACAACACACACGGACAGTGCCCCTCCTCTGTGCTCACATCTATCCATAACTACAGTGACACCCTCATATTAACGTTGGCTGTTACTTTTTTAACGCTCTGCTGCACGTTTCTGCATTCTTGTCACTGTGCTCTGATGGCAACTTTTTCTTATGGATTGTAACTTTGGTTTTATTAGATAGCTGTTGAAGGCAGACCTACTCATTCTTCAGGTTGAAGATGTGCCTCGGTAATGCTGCCTTCGTGCCTTTTTAGTTTTTTAAAGTTTTGATGTTCACAGTCATGCACAATGTACAGCTCCTTGACCCCGGCCTGAACAGATATCTACCCAAACATCATTGCTATGGGCTTTCCAGCAGAGCGACTCGAAGGCGTGTACAGAAACAATATAGACGACGTAGTGCGGTGAGTTGCGTCGCTGCTTTTGTGTCGTCCTAGAAAAGCAATTTATCACACAGTTTCTGTCTATTCATTTTGCTCTGGCAGATGATCTCATAAATATATAATGTTCTCTCTTGCAAAACAGGTTTTTGGATTCAAAGCATAAAAACCATTACAAAATCTACAACCTGTAAGTGTTGCACGTTTTGTTTGTCCCTGTTCACGTAATAACGTCCTCTCTCTGTGTGTGTGTGTGTGTATGCTAACCGCATTTTGTTCTTCCCATTTCAGCTGCGCGGAAAGACACTACGATACTGCCAAATTTAACTGCAGAGGTAGGCTGCTTGACATGTTCTATAGAAGAAAAGAAGCAGTGTGACCTAAAAGCCTGATGACACACACGGTTGATAAAATGTCTCCTGTGTCTTGTCTCCTCTGACCCGTCTTGCTCTGTGTCCACGCTTCTTTGTCTTCTCAGTTGCACAGTACCCCTTCGAAGACCACAACCCTCCCCAGCTGGAGCTAATTAAGCCGTTTTGCGAAGACCTGGACCAGTGGCTCAGCGAGGACGACAATCACGTGGCGGCCATCCACTGCAAGGCCGGGAAGGGCCGCACCGGAGTCATGATCTGCGCCTATCTCCTCCACCGCGGCAAGTTCCAGAAGGCCCAAGAAGCGCTCGACTTCTACGGAGAAGTCAGGACAAGGGACAAGAAGGTGGGACGATAGTCTGAGACCAAATGTCTTCACACAGCAGCTGCTCTTCCAGATCAGTTGTTGTAAAAAAAAAAAAAAAAAACGTTTCTACGTTATAGACCTGTAAACATTGTCCCTGTCGTTGCAGGGAGTAACGATTCCGAGCCAGCGCCGCTATGTCTACTACTACAGCCACCTACTGAAGCACCAGCTGGACTACAAGCCGGTGGCGCTCCTCTTCCACAAAATGGTGTTCGAGACTCTCCCCATGTTCAGCGGGGGCACCTGCAGTGAGTCACGCTCGTGTTCCAACCTTCACTCCGCACTAGGGCGTAGGCATGCGTGCCGCTGTTCAAACGCAGCGAGAGCCTCGGATGTGTTGTGCGCTGTCGGGGCTCCGCCCACGCTGCTGTGGGACAGAGCGGGTCGTCTACGGTAGAGTTCAGTCGGCCCGTGCCGTAGCGTGGCTGAATTAGCTGCAGTGTATTTCTTTTGAAGCCCTTCTGTTACTGCTTCCAACAAGGCCAGCTCATTCTCTGCCCTCTGAAAACACGCTTTCAATCAGATCTCCTCAGTTTGTCCCAATGTACAACAAACTTACACAATTTGAGCCATCTTTTAATAATATTTTTAGCTTCCTCATGAGGCGGCCTCTAAAGAAGCCAGGTTCTGCTTTCATGTGTCCATTTTCTGCTGTGTAATACCGTTCTGTGTTCAGAGGAATTACAATATTCACTATTTAAACAGAGCAGAGCACGAGGGAAGTGAACTGTGCACGCACACACCCGACAAGTACAGTAGACAAGCCAGATGCATAACCAGGAAGTAACTAAAAGTCAGTAAAGCAATTAAACATTCTGGTCGGTGTTGTGTTTTTACACACGCCTGTTAATAAGTCACTGTAGTGGTGCTTTCATTTACATATGAAAGCATATTTACATATCACTGCATGTTTGCTCTGAGCTCCAGTGGAATGACTTTGTTGTAAAATGGTGCGTCCGCTGTGTTCAGTGGCACAGACAGGAATTTGCTTTATTTAAAAAACTGCGCTGAAACCAAAACTTTATCAACATCTGTGCTTTATCTCATAATTCAACTGAAGTCATCCCCACAGAGACCTTTGGGTGAAATTCCTCAGCCAATGACGCTTTGTTTTTCATTGTGCATGTCTATTTTTTTCAACACGTGAATGCTGTTTTACTAACCAAACGGTTTAATAGTTCTCTGTAATGTCTTTATGAGCTGTTGTGCCTCTGTATCTCAAGAAGAATGCGCCTCCTTCCTTCATTTCTGTGACTTTTTCACCGTAACGCCTGACTGTGCTGAACATCCCGACTGTATTGATCTTTCCTCCTAACACTCCCTTTCAAAAAAAGAAGGCCCTATTCTGAGTTTGACGTCTTAATACATGTACTCAAATCAACCTTTTCTAGCCTCAGGTTCTAGGTTCACTTCAGCAAAAGATGAACAGCTAGTTTGAAAACTCAGTTAAAAATAACTTATTTATTTCTGTTTTGCTAAATTCAACTCTGTTTCGTGGTCGTCGGCGATCTGGAGTTCCCCCTTTCCTCCTTCCCCTTTGTGCATCTCACAGCGCGTCGGCTCACACGACGCACACCTTGTAGCCGCGTACTGGTTGTTTTTCTGAAGGTAAAACTGTGTAGATGCACTTATCTGTTTTGTTTTGTTTGTGTGGAGCTCTTGTTTGTGCCTGCTGTCAGGCCCCTTAACGGTCCAGCCACGTCCTGTTTGTAATAATCTCCTTCTTTCTCTCTTAAGGGGACAGTACCTTTAAAAACAGGAGCGAGCCGACCCCTCAGGGCTTCAGGAAAGGGAATTGGCATTGGGGTAAATGAGCCTTTTCATCCATTATCATTTCACTCATTTGCTTTTTATATGGCCCCAGAGATCCACCAGGCAGGAGCAGTCTGAGGCAGGATAGGACACACGACTGCCACCGGTTGAAGTGTATGTGTGTGTGTGTGTGTGTGTGTATGTATATATGTGTGTGTGTGTGTGTGTATGTGTATATATCTATATATACACACACACACACACAGAGTACGGAAAGTATTCAGACCCCTTTAAATTTTTCACTTTGTTTCATTGCAGCCATTTACTAAAATCAAAAAAGTTCATTTTATTTCTCATTAATGTACACTCGGCACCCCATCTTGACAGAAATGTAGAAATTTTTGCAAATTTATTAAAAAAGAAAAACTGAAATATCACATGGTCATAAGTATTCAGACCCTTTGCTGTGACTCATATTTAACTCACATGCTGTCCATTTCTTCTGATCCTCCTTGAGATGGTTCTACTCCTTCATTGGAGTCCAGCTGTGTTTAATTAAACTGATTGGACTTGATTAGGAAAGGCACACACCTGTCTATATAAGACCTTACAGCCCACAGTGCATGTCGGAGCAAATGAGAATCATGAGGTCGAAGGAACTGCCCAAGGAGCTCAGAGACAGAATTGTGGCAAGGCACAGATCTGGCCAAGGTTACAAAAGAATTTCTGCAACACTCAAGGTTCCTAAGAGCACAGTGGCCTCCATAATCCTTAAATGGAAGAAGTTTGGGACGACCAGAACTCTTCCTAGACCTGGCCGTCCAGCCAAACTGAGCAATCGTGGAAGAAGAGCCTTGGTGAGAGAGGTAAAGAAGAACCCAAAGATCACTGTGGCTGAGCTCCAGAGATGCAGTAGGGAGATGGGAGAAAGTTCCACAAAGTCAACTATCACTGCAGCCCTCCACCAGTCGGGGCTTTATGGCAGAGTGGCCCGACGGAAGCCTCTCCTCAGTGCAAGACATATGAAAGCCCGCATAGAGTTTGCCAAAAAACACATGAAGGACTCCCAGACTATGAGAAATAAGATTCTCTGGTCTGATGAGACCAAGATTGAACTTTTTGGCGTTAATTCTAAGCGGTATGTGTGGAGAAAACCAGGCACTGCTCATCACTTGCCCAATACAATCCCAACAGTGAAACATGGTGGTGGCAGCATCATGCTATGGGGGTGTTTTTCAGCTGCAGGGACAGGATGACTGGCTGCAATTGAAGGAAAGATGAATGCGGCAAAGTACAGAGATATCCTGGAAGAAAACCTCTTCCAGAGTGCTCTGGACCTCAGACTGGGCCGAAGGTTCACCTTCCAACAAGACAATGACCCTAAGCACACAGCTAAAATAAAAAAAGAAGTGGCTTCGGAACAACTCTGTGACCATTCTTGACTGGCCCAGCCAGAGCCCTGACCTAAACCCAATTGAGCATCTCTGGAGAGACCTTCACCATCCAACCTGACGGAACTGGAGAGGATCTGCAAGGAAGAATGGCAGAGGATCCCCAAATCCAGGTGTGAAGAACTTGTTGCATCATTCCCAAGAAGACTCATGGCTGTACTAGCTCAAAAGGGTGCTTCTACTCGATACTGAGCAAAGGGTCTGAATACTTATGACCATGTGATATTTCAGTTTTTCTTTTTTAATAAATTTGCAAAAAATTTTACATTTCTTTTTTTCTGTCAAGATGGGGTGCCGAGTGTACATTAATGAGAAATAAAATGAACTTTTTTTGATTTTAGCAAATGGCTGCAATGAAACAAAGAGTGAAAAATTTAAAGGGGTCTGAATACTTTCCGTACCCACTGTATGTATGTATGTATGTGCGTATGTATGTGTATGTGCGCAACGTGTTGCGCCGGTACAAGACCGAACCGTGACTGTATCAGAATAGGGTCGTATGTCTCTGGCTCCGGGTCTCTTTGGGTGCTCCATATTGTGCTCTTTCCCCTCCTTAATTTGAGCATGTTTCACACTCGGAGGGGAGAGGTGGTGGTGTGCTGTTTTTGTTTTTGGTCCAACTCATGCATTAACACTGGTGTCTTGCTTCTTCTCTTGGCACACTCCCTGCTCCTTTACTGTCGCTCACTCTTGTGTTTTCTGTCCCTCTTTTCCCTCATAAATCTCTCAATCTTGCCCTCCTCTGGCGCAACGTTGACTCGTTTATTTTGCAGATCCCCAGTTCGTGGTGTACCAGCTGAAGGTGAAGATTCACACGTCGAACCCGGCGCACACGCGCCGCGAGGACAAGCACATGTTTTTCGAATTCCCCCAGCCACTGCCAGTTTGCGGAGACATCAAAGTGGAGTTCTTCCATAAACAGAATAAGATGATGAAGAAGGTTAGTTGTCTTTAATTGCAGCTTAATTTAACATGTTTCTGTCATTAAGAGCTTATTTCAGGGTGTCGACAATTATACCTGTTAAGTCTGGCACCATTCTGGGTTTTTATTTTTACTGTCAACAAATCCCATGAAAATACATAAATGTAGTTATTTTTATTGCAAAAGCCCAGTAATAGTGTATTAGTTCGTGCCATAGACGTCTTTTGTTGGTGGAGTAAAACAGCGTTGGTTTAGATTTTATATTGAGTTTTGTTGACGATGAGAATATAGCCGGCCGTAATGAGAAGTTCCTTTTTGAATCCTCCGCTTTGCCCAATTCCTCACGACATCTCCTCTCGGCAACCTTTTTTTTTTTTTGCCCCCGTAGGATAAAATGTTTCACTTCTGGGTGAACACCTTCTTCATCCCTGGACCAGAGGAAAGCGGGGACAAGATGGAGAACGGGGCGGTGAACAACGCAGACAGCCAGCCGGGGGTACCGGCACCGGGCCAGCCGCAGAGCGCCGACTGCAGGGACGGCAGCAGGGAAAGCGACCGGGACTACCTCATCCTGACGCTCACGAAGAACGACTTGGACAAGGCCAACAAAGACAAAGCTAACCGCTACTTCTCGCCAAACTTCAAGGTACGCATTTCATTTGGCTATTTGCTCGGATGAGTCTGTTAAATCGGCCAAAGAGCAATGATTAAGACTTGTTTATGAGTATTGTCTTTATTGCACAGACTGAAGTTAGTTTCTGATTTGTAATTCCAGGTGAATTTGTATTTTACGAAAACCGTGGAGGATTCGAATTCTGAGGCAAGCACTTCGACATCCGTCACCCCGGACGTTAGCGACAATGAGCCAGACCATTATCGATACTCTGACACCACTGACTCTGATCCGGAAAATGAACCTTTTGATGAAGAGCAGCACACGCAAATCACAAAAGTGTGAACTCTTTTTAAAACAGGAAAAGAAGAAATTATACACCAGAAAAAAAAGGAAAAAACTTGAATATAAACTCAAAAGAAGAACCTTTGTCCCTTCCCTCCCCCAGACGGCAATAGAATATCATCATGTCAAATGCCAACTTTAGGGAAAAAAAGATAAATATCCTGACCAATATATTGTTTTTTTTATTTTTCTTTTTTTTCTTTGGCGCGGCCATGTACCATGTGCAAGGTATTGACACTGTTGCCCCATGGGAAAAGGTGCTGTAGCTATGAACATGTGTTTCTATATATCTATATACATACGTCTATGTATATACATATATACATGCATATATAAAAACTTTTTTGTGTCAAAGACAATGGAAACCACAATCAGGAGACGGGAGTTGAAGTGTGGGAGAAGAATGATATACTAGGACTATGCTGCTCCTTCTCCTGTCTAAATAAACCAAGGCCAGTGCTGCAGTCACTTTGTTTCACTCCCTCTCTTCTCCCCCCTCCTCCTCTCATCTTTTACTCTCCCTCCCCTCCATCTTATCCTCCTTCCTATCCCCCTTTACTGTGAATGCTTCTTGTGCTCTTTGCAGGCTGTCTCACGTGACTTTTGGTCTTTGTGCAGTGCAAACTGCATGCGGGCAGTGGGTTTGGAGTGGGCGGGGTTATGAAGAGGCTGTGATGATGTCTAAAGCATTGCCATTCCTGTCCCCACTGTGTATACGTTTAAATTATGCAGAACAAGGCATCCCATGTAATTGTTAATGTTTTTTTTTATCCTAAGATAATAAAAATATAATACACAAAACAGCAGGGAGACAAGTGTTTGCAATAATGTCGACACTACGTTTAAAGGACAATGGTGATTTGCATGTATTTGGAATTGGCGTCCATCCCTAATAAATGTATGCAATGTTGTCTTTTCTTAAAGAAACCAGCCTTGAGATGTGTCTTCTGCGTGGGGTTCCCTGGTGCTTTGAGTCATACTCAGACAATTACATCAGAGGGTTTATGTAATATTCTCCCTTTGCTGTTCACAGTTAATGAAAATCATGCAGAACGAAGATGTATTCTGCAACAAGCAGTTGAATCGAAAGCAGTCTTTTAACTAGGCGAGGTTTCAAGTCGCGCTTTTAAGCAACAGCCAGCCGAAACCTGAACTCTGGGCGTGTGAGAGGTGGAGGAAAATGTGCACAAGCGCTGCACTTGATAAGGAAAATGCTGTAAAGCATGTCGCTGGAGCCGCGTTCACAGTAACTTCCTGCTTTAAAGGTCAGCGCTGCAAATAGCGGGTGGGACTTGAGGTAGGGAAGTGATGGAAGGACCATTATTAAAAGCTCACTTCAAGCAAACGCGTGACCCAACTAGGGGGCGGAGCATCTGCAGTCTATCGATGTGTTGATTATCGTAGCAACAGGTTGAGGTTCAGACTCGTCTGCTAACTGAAGTTGAATAGAGACGCTTTTGTTTTTGCTAGTTCTGCAAAGTTAACATTTCCATTTCCTGAATTGCTTTCAAAAGCAAGCTGACCTCTTGACGCAGACGTTAATGCGCTAAAACCGAGCCACCAGGTGCTGCTGGTTAGTCGAGGCGTTCGCCACATGAAATGAGCAGAGGCAGGCGCGAGGGCTCCCAGCCCGGGAGCGAGGAGCGCGAGGCCTCGGGTAGACGGAGCCCCAAATGAAAGAGTAACAGGATTAACGACCATGTCACTGTGATAGGAGAGCAGAGAGTGGCGAGACCCCGGCTAAAGCATGGCCCAAAGTCTCCCGATAATAAAATAAAGTATGAATTAAACATACATATATATATATGAAATGCTCCACCCCTAGGCAGGCAGTCACGTAATCCCCTTCTGCTCTATTAAGACTTGGGTCCTCGGCTCCTTCGCGTTGATAGAGACATCAAAGCCGAAACCAGTGCAGCGTCAAATGAGACGGGCGGCAGTCGCAGGGGCCCGACTGTAATTGGCTGAGCCGAGGAGGAGGGAGAGACTCCGGTAGATTAATAATGAATGTGCTGTGCTGGGTCGAGAGAGACGTCTCGGCTCTCCACAGGCAGGCGAGACTGAAGACGGGCTGACTTCAGTGGAGCTCGAGAGTCCACATCTTTGGCCTTTGATTGCCCTCATCACATACACAGACGCAGACACGGCGGCATCTGAAATATTAATCTAATCAATATACTGCTTCATTTGTATGTCTTGAGCGCTGGCTCCTCTGAAAGTTTTTGTTTGGGTTTTTCTGCCTCAGCCACCTCTCTGGAGAGGCCAAAAATATGGAGATCTGAATATTTACTTCATGTGGGTCAGATATGACACATCATACAGCCAAATAAACACTCGATACTGAAAAACTGTTAACTGCCATTTCTCCCACCAAGCCTATCTGTTTTGGACGCCCCATTTCCAAAAAGAAGATTCAAAGTTAGACATGACATAAACGTTTCATTCTACATTCATTAAACTTACGAGATAGCCTACGAGCTCTAGATCTAGATTATACTAGAGATAATCAACATTAGGAGTTGGGTCAAAGCTGTGAGAGACTATAGGCGTCGTACAACGGCATCTAAAGTGGTGAATAGTTGTGGCAAATGCAACTCATTAATTCATGAAACGAATCCGTGCGAAATATTCACGTCAAGTTCAACTTTGTCAAAGACCGGAGAGGCACAGTGGAGGAAGCTATACGTAGCATATTAGCTGTGTTGCACCATTCACTTTTATTCAACCTTCCTCTGACAAGTGTGAACTGCTCAACAAAGGATGGAGAGTTGTTTTATTGCTGTTCTGACGCCTTGATAACTATTCTTTCTGAAAACGACACGACGCGTATGTTTGGTTGTCACTATTGAGAGGGGTCAGTGGTGCATCTTTTGAATGGACCCTGTAAACGTTTTGTCCAGTTGGTGTCAACTCTTTATCTTCCCTCTTCGATGACCGTTTCATTGAACAAAAATTGTGTCCAATGGTGAACAAAAAGGCCAGAAGGGGAGTGAACTGATCAGTAGAGAGGAAATGGAGAGAATCTCCAGAAGCTACTGCGACTGACTGCGAGCAAACCCGGCTGGATGGCAAGTTAGCAATTAGCTCGCCACAGCTAACAGCAGCTCACCAACGAGCTCTGTGACAGTCACAATGTTTCAAGAACCACATATCTTGCAAAGACGTACGGATTCATTTCATTGTTCTGGTTGGTGGTTGTTTGGTTCTGGCTTAGTATCTCATAATATTGTTTTACCGTAGGCATGTATCATGTATAACCTTTCACATTTTATTTTGTTTTTGTTTTCTAGCCTTCCAGAGTCCATACATCAAACCACAGTGAAAAGAAGAAATATAAAAAAAAAGCACACCAAAATATTGAGATTTAAGCTTAGAATTATGACCAATGAGGGGGTGGGGGAGTGTGGGTGTGTATATGTGTGTGTATGGAGGGGGGTCAGTCTGGCCTACAAAGACAAGATAAACCCAAGCTGGTAACCCCATTTCCCTTCCATCTGTTGGTAGCAGTTCAGTTGTCGAGCATGGCTGCAGTCACCCGGACCTGGCAACCCATCCCCCAAGCCCTCGTTCTCTGGCTGACTGCACAGCTGTGTTGCGTTTGGATTAGGCCAAGAATAAAACAGGAAGTAGAAATTAAACAAAAGCTTAAACACACACAGAGAGAGAGAAACACACTTACACACACAGGCAGTGCAAGTTACCAAAGACTCGGTAGCAGCAGCAGCAGCAGCAGCACGAGTGACGGCCAGTGGAAAAAGTGCACACACACACACACACACACGCGCAGAACCATCGCACATACACAAATATACTAGAGCATGAACAAGGTCGTACTCTGCCTCCCACAGACTCGCATAAGCCCGGGCAGGACCACAGGCGTATCATTTCTCTGTGCCCACACTCATGCTCACACATATGGTCTTTTTACGTATGCTAAGTGCCTCTCTGCCTCTATACTCCCCTCTTCACGGTGGTCTGAGGAAAACTAGCAAACACGCCCAATCAGTCTCGGAAGCAGGCCAGTGTAACGTTGCAGGTATGGGAGTGTGAGATTATATTCATAACACAAATGTCTATGAATGAGATGAAGACAACATGAACTCTGATTACCGAGTGAGCACACTTCTTTTCTTTACAATTAGTCCACTACAATAAAGCTGGAATCCCATCCAGCGCTTCTCTGAAGACAAATATTAAAACAATCACTACTTTCATCAGCACATTATTAAACATATGAAAACCTTATGGTCAAAAGCAGCAGGAGACTCATTGACACTAACACTAAAAATAATACAGTATATTAGGTGTTGGATGTTCTCACTCTGCTGTCCTTGTTTGACATTTTAGCTTTTGAAAGTGTCACTATCTTATCTGCTGTGAACTTGCTTCAGCTTTTAGCAAGACCTCTGTGTGTGTTTTTTTTTTCTTCTTTTTGTGTGAATGCACACAGGAACTATGGTGAATGAGGAAGTGGAATTGGTAAGAAGAAGGACAACACGTAGCTGTACGCATGCATGAAGCAACAGTTGAGCTGGCAAGGTGCACTTTAATGGAATATCCATTGAAGTGCCTCTCGTTGGACCAACTGTTAATGAATTTACGGTAAATGTTTTCAGATGTTATTTTTACTGTCAAGGCCTGAGTCAACTAATGAGTCACACCAGCTCTGTTTTTTCAGTGTGTGTGTGTGTGTGTGTGTGTTTGTTGACATGGATATGCCAGCATGCTTGTCAGTCTCTGTGTGTTTATGTGCGTCTTCATGAATAAGAGAAGCACATGGAAACACTTACTGTATTGCTGTCGCTGCTGACCCCACCCCTTCCTCAACACACACACACACACTGCTTATTCTCTCTATGTGATCAATGCAGAGCCCATATGTGTCCATTGTACTGAAAAGCCCTCAACATGCAGAGCCAGAGGCAAGAAAACACGGAGAGAAGCGTATCAGCTATACCAGCGAGCTCTACATACATACATCCAGCTCACATGCACACACACACATTTCTACATGCACAACAGGAACTTGCATTGTGTTTAGGAAACCCAGTAGTGAAAAGTGCTTTTGCTGCAGGGCTTTTATGTACATCTGTGTGTGAAAAACACGAACTTACGAGTCAGTGTGCTCATCAGATTTTACCTTGACAGGCTTTGTTCTCCACCTGACTTTTACCCTGAAATCTTAGAGCCGGCATAATCCTTCCCACAAGCCTCCTCCTACTCCTCCTCGCTCTCTTCCCTCTCTCCATCTAGCGTCACCATGAGGGTACTATGAGGCATATGTGCTGCTGATGACAGTCTCTAATCCTCACGCCTTTGACTGATAGTTACCCGCGCACTCCTCATCCCCATCTCATCCTCGTACACCGAGAACAAGGGAGGGAGACACCAGGGTGTCGGCTGATACCCTGCTCAGCCTCCGAGTCCCCCTCCGCTCTCATTCTCTCCCAGCTGAGAGTCATTATCTGAAATGACTGATGTGAGAGCGGCTGATGGACAAGACCGATATTAGTGTTTGGGGCTGGAGAGTGAAAGTCAGAAAATGGTACTGAAGACTTTCAGAGTTTCAGAGTTTGGCTTCAGGGTTTTACAGCTCGTAAGATGAGGTTCATTTTTTTTATTTGTTTCCATCACAGTGACTCTCATTTGATCACCTTCAGCCAGTAATGCATCAAGAGATCTTTCTGCATCTTTCTGCAGTTCAGGTCTTCCCGTGGGTTAAAGTTAGCCTTTGTGCAATAGAAACAGACTTGTCTGTGTGGAGCGATGTGGAGACTGTATCTCTCCTCAAATGAAATAAACATAAATACCATATTTCCATCAAGTTTTCTACATGATGTTCCATGTAGTGACTATTGACTATTTTTTGGCCGGACTCAGTGACTTCCTAAAGTCTTCAGTGGTTGCCTGGAAACCACACAGAGACAACAAGACTGATTCTGTTTAACCTTTGGACAAAGCCAGGCT